AACCCACGGACTTCCTAAGGGCGCGAACTGATGCGCAATTCACATCGAAAAATTTGACCTCGGCGACCTAATATGCCTCAAAGTTGCCGGGTCTGGCGATCTCCGCCCACCGACCAGCTGATCACTCGCCGCAGTGGGATACGATTAGATAGATAGCAGAGAGAGCGTGATGTTGAGGAGGGCACAGCGATAAGAGTCGCATCAATGCGCAAATCAGCGGGGAAGGAAGGGGTCCCATTTCTCGGGTTCTGGGCCGTTTCTCATGGTTCTTCCTTCTTTCGTGTACCAATCACCATCCCTGAGTTAATTTGAAATGGGTTGCCTTCCCAGCGTGAATTCGTCCTTTAAGGGCCGGCCGGGGGGGGCGGGGCGGGCGGAGCGGAAAACAAGGTATTTCAGTATTTCAGAAATGATGTTGTTCGTCATGTTCAGCTCCTTCCCAGATATACGTAGGATTCCACTCTTTGTAGAGTTCTTCCTGCCAATTTTATTTCTCCCATATCACACTGGTTCACCATCATTTGCGTTTTGGACATATTCATTTCCAACCCTATCTTCAGACCTTCCACATTGAGTTCGTTGATCATCTCTTCCATTTCAGCTGTGTTAGTGGAGACTAGAACGATATCATCAGCGAAGCGGAGGTTATTGATTCTTTTTCCATTGATGAGGTATCCTTTGTCTTCCCAGTTAAGGTTTGACATAGCATACTGTAGCGCAGCCGTGAATAGTTTGGAGATATCGTGTCTCCTTGCCTTACTCCTTCTTCAATTGGGATTTTCGTCTTGCGCTCGAACGGCTGGATGGTTGTTGATATGATCGTGAAGCACTAGGATATATGCAGGGAGAACTCCGGCTTGCGTAAGGGCATTCAAACAGCGTTGACTTCCACTGAGTCGAATGCCTTCTTGTAATCCACGAAAACAAGAACCAAGGGAAGGTGGTACTCGTGACTCCTCTCGATGAGCTGGGTGACTGCTTGTATGTTATCCATGCATGAAAAGTTCTTTCTAAATCCGGCCTGCTCCACTGGCTGGTATTCATCCAAAGTGCATTCCATGCGATTGAGCAGTATTTTCGTGAATGTTTTGTAAACCACCGAGAGAAGACTTATTGGTCGGTAGTTAGCGATATCCTCACGCTGTCCTTTCTTGAACAGGAGAACTGCCCTAGATTTCTTCCATTGTTCTGACATTGCTTTACAGTCTTCTGGACAGCTATTAGAGATAGTATCAATGTGAAGGAATCGTGGAGCTTTCAGTTCAACTCTTCGCTTGACGCGCAATCGCAAAATTTGAGCTGGTCTTCGCCAGGACTTTCAAAACAAAGGTTTTTTTCTACAAACCTGAGATTAATTATCAAAGATTAGGTTGTCTTTTATGTAGTATCTATCGCTACTTGCAAGAACAAATAGACCTATAGAAGGTTGATGTGAAATATCCCACGTTGGATTAACCTGGGATTTTGATCTAGGGACTACTCGCACGATAGCGGCCCTCTTGTCACTATGCCATCACCGCTCGAATGAGTATTTTTAAAATGTATGTTGGCCACTTGATTAACATACAGAATTTCCATATCTCATTCGTGAAACAAAGCCATTGTCCGGTAGCGATCACAGTCTGTCCGCCGCACTCTGTAGAAGCGTTGCGGGTCTGACTGCGAGTCTGACCTGGTGCTTCTGCTGTAACGAGTCATCTGATAAAAATGTAGGAGGACACCGACATCATAGAGAGTGTACGAGCCTTCAAAATTACCTTTTTGGGAGCTGCATACACTGACCATTGACCTGCGGTGCCTTATTAATTTATTCAGAGTAACTCGCTTTGGCCCGTGACGATTTGTTATCAGAGTAAAAATTGTAGCTTCTTTTATATATGGGAGCAATTCCCATCAAGTGGGCACCCCAGTCTGAATAAGTCCCAGAACTGTGGTCGTGCCTTTGACTACGGAAGTGGTACGTACACATGTGCAGCACCAGTAGTCCAAGGGTTAAACCATATACGCGACGGAGAATTCGAAAACAAGGAATACTCCAGAAACTTGCTGAATACTCCTTTAACTCTCGGTCCGGTGATTTCTCGCTAAATATGTATAAGAATCAACGGGCACTATTGAGCTATTACAACCCCAGAGGGGGTGAGATGGATCAAAAAAAATTTTTTCGCTGAAACTTGCGCTAGGGGGTTATCGAGGCTCCTGATCACGAATATGACCTTAGTTTTTGGCGCTGGCGCCAAATTGGCGCCATTTGGCGCCAATTGGCGCCAAGGGTGTTCTCACCAAATTCGCTGTAAACTTGTGGATAGGGGTTATCGAGGCTCCTGATCACGAATATGACCTTAGTTTTGGCTCAATTTCTCTAGGTGACGCTCGAAATAGATGTCATCTAGGCGCTCATCCAGTAAGGGGGGCATCAAGTGGCTGCCCTCACCCCCCACCCCCTGAACTGGCTTCACTCCCCCTGGCTCACGGGGTCCCGTACTTCGAGAAACCTGTGAGCCAGGGGGAGTGTAGGCAGTCTAGGGGGTGGGGGGTGAGGGCAGCCACTTGATGCCCCCTTACTGGATGAGCGCCTAGATGACATCTATTTCGAGCGTCACCTAGAGAAATTGAGCCAAAACTAAGGTCATATTCGTGATCAGGAGCCTCGATAACCCCTATTCACAAGTTTACAGCGAATTTGGTGAAAACACCCTTGGCGCCAATTGGCGCCAAATGGCGCCAATTTGGCGCCAGCGCCAAAAACTAAGGTCATATTCGTGATCAGGAGCCTCGATAACCCCCCTAGCGCAAGTTTCAGCGAAAAAAATTTTTTGATCCATCTCACCCCCTCTGGGGTTGTAATAGCTCAATAGTGCCAAAACATGTTGATCGATAGTCACTGATTGCTTCGTTTGGTTTTGTGTTTCGCTTCGGAAAAGAATTAAACGTTGGATAAAAAAGGATATGATCTTATTCCCCAACTCGATAGATTTATCACCAAGGGTTCAGTAAGATTATCTGTTAAATTTCAGGATCTCTGCGCAGCGCACATTCAGCATGTGGCGCGAAAGATGTGTCACGCGGCCAATAATATTGTGGAGTATCAAAGGGGAAATGTTAAATCGGATCAGTTGCTGACTTTTAAAGGTAACGTCACACTGCGACACTTCCTTGAATTACTTCTGAAGCCGCAAAGAAGAACTAGTATCCTTATGTACCTTATAATTGCACTAAATTTTTCCACCATTTTTTCACTAGTGATTAATTACTGGGGTAAGGGTAAGAAACTGTTTGTTCTATCGCAACTGCGTGTAATGTTGTACGTAAGTTGCTTTTGTTGCTTATTATGTGATCGCACTGCCATGCAAGTAATAGTATAATGTAGGAAAATGTCGCGCCATTTTTGTAATTTTTTCTTTTGCCCTTCAACCTGTCTACAGTAACGACAGCTCCAACCGTGCAAACATATTAACATGTTCGCACATCTATCTGCCAGCAACTTCCCGAGAGACGTTCGTTCCCCCTCTCTTCCTCCCCCCCCCCGCAGGGAAGAACCTTCTGGTGCAGTTCCAATCGCCACTTTTATCAAAGCTTTGAAGAATGGAAAAATCTAATGTATGTAGCCGTGCGGACTCGTGCAGTCCCATTTATGAAACTGCTGGGGCCTGCAGAAAACTTACGGAAAGAATCCGAAAGGCCGGCCAAATTTTCCTACAACATAACAGAGGATTTCCGTAGTTTCATGAGATCGATGAAACCTCCCTGCTTTGAGACAACGTGGCGTCCCCGAAGAGCTTATTGAGTGGGTTCGCATGCTTACTCGAGTCCAAAGAGCCGAGTGCAAACGGCAGCAGGAACATCGATGGAATTCCCCATCTCTGTCGGGGTACACCAAGGCTCTGCGCTATCCCCACTCCTATTTGTTGTCGTCATGGATGCCATTCACGAGATCTCCAGAAACCGGCTCCATGGACGCTTCTCTATGCTGATGACGTGATGCTCGCCTGCGAAGACAAAAACTCACTCGAGCAACAAGTGCAAGCTTGGTCCGATCGCCTAGCGATGTTCGGACTCAGGTTGAATGTCAAAAAGACCGAGTACTTGACAACCGACTTGAGCGAACACAGTTCTATAAAATCAACGGCACAGAGCTATCACGCACAACCACATTCAAGTATCTTGGATCGGCAATCGCGTCAGATGGTAGTATGGCT